TGGTGACCATCAGGTTATCACAGAGTATTGAGCAGAGTTCCCTGAGCTGGCCAGCAGGTCCTTGCTGGTTCTCCATGTTAAATACAGCAGCGTGTCCACGTCCATCCCAGACTCCCTGACTATCCCTTTCCCCATCCTTCCCCCTGGTGACCATCAGGTTATCACAGAGTATTGAGCAGAGTTCCCTGTGCTGGCCAGCAGGTCCTTGCTGGTTCTCCATGTTAAACACAGCCGTGTGTCCATGTCCATCCCAGACTCCCTGACTCTCCCTCCCCCAGCCTTCCCCCTGGTGACCATAAGGTTATCACAGAGTATTGAGCAGAGTTCCCCGTGCTGGCCAGCAGGTCCTTGCTGGTTCTCCATGTTAAACACAGCAGCGTGTCCATGTCCACCCCAGACTCCCTGACTATCCCTCCCCCATCCTTCCCCCTGGGAACCATAAGGTTTTTACAGAGTAATAAATGCAGATATGCAGGGGTATGAGAGTCTTAGCCCCTCTGTCTCCCCTCCCCGTCTTTCTCACTTCTGACTGCCACCAGTTACGTGAATGACCTCAGGCAGGTCACTTCACCAGCTCAAAACTATGGGTCAAAAGGTTGAACCATCCTTACCAGTTTAGGAAAAAAAAAAAAAAAAAAAACACGCCAAAAAAGTAGCTTACAGAATCCTGTAAGTCTTTATCATACTGTGGCATCAGCTATATGCACATAATTGTTTTCCACAGACTTCCAACTGCTTTTCAAACTTTTCGTATAATCCAGACATTATGTAAATTGAAAGAAAAGATCTTGTACATCTCAACAATGTGAATGTACTTCATTTCACAATGTAGGGAACCACTTCACAAGGCCATGGATGGCTGCAACGTGGAAATTTGTTGGGACTGATTGAAATCCTTCAGCTTAGAAGGGCAGACAGACTCTCGTCTGAAGTCTTCCGTGACTAAACAGATAAAGGAAGAGCTGGTTTACAGAGACTGATTGGGGCTGATAAACACATCACCTCTGCTATTCCCTCTTGGCTCTGTAATTTTAAAGTGATTATTTGGGGGCGGGGGCAGGAGGGAAGAAGAGATTGGAGTGTCTTATCTTCGTTATGGGCATATGCCATCTTGGTATTCTGAACACTGAATTGGGCCTTATGTTTAAGAGAATGTGAAAGTGCAAGAGTCAGTCACTCGGTCATGTCTGACTCTCTGTGACCCCGTGGACTGTAGCCCACCAGGCTCCTCTGTCCATGGGATTCTCCAGGCAAGAGTACTGGAGTGGGCTGCCATTCCCTTCTCCAGCAGATATTCCCTGCCCAGGGATTGGACCTGGGTCTCCTGCATTGCAGGCAGATTCTTTCTTATTTGAGCCACCAGGGAAAAAGCTTTGAGCCAAATACTATTCGTTCCTTTACTTAAAGCATAATTTCCTAATGCCATTTCATCAATTATGTTGTTTCATGTTTCACAAACTAGGTGATGCTATCCTGGAGTATTGCAGTCACATGTAAGGCATGAGATATTTTTCTAGGGCAGTGAGTAATGATAGAATGAATGAAGTAGATTAAGGAAATGATGAAATACCACCAGTTGGCTTTCCTAAACTGGGAATTTTCTTTAGAAATGTAGATGATTTTGCGCTTTTGCTGTGAACTTCGAATTTCTGGAAGCGTTAACTGTGTATTTTCAGCACATAGGCATCCAGGTGCATCGTTGAAAATGTGAATGGCTGTGATTATCTTTACACGTTTTAATTTTTCTTTTGCTGCGAAGCGGTGATGAGCTTGAAGACCAGCTTCCTCTGAGAAGAGTCTGCAGTGACCTGCTGTAGGTTCAGGATTGAATCACGCCACAGATTTGGTTCTAAGGGCCTCAGAGAATAAGAAGGCAGGAGGAAACTGTGGCGATATTCTGCTAATGGACTTGAATAGTGAGACATCTGGTCGACCCGCAGTAGGTGAACAGTCAGGTCAGGGCTCCGTTGGGGGAGGCGTTGAGGCTCAACAACCATTGGAAGAGCCTCAGTAGCTCCTGCTTTCATCTCCAGGAAGTAACCTGGGAACGAGCGTGGCCAGAGCAGCAAGAGGAGCAGGGACAGGAAAGCAGAATCAGGACGTTATGTGTGGCAGGAACGCACAGGGCTTTGGGGAGGCTGCCATCTCTTTGGGGGCGGGGGGCGGATAGGCAATGAGAGCTTCTGAATTGTGTCATGAAGAATCACCAGCTGGGACTTCCCTGGTGGTCTAGTAGCTAAGAGTCTGTGTTCCCAATGCACGGGGCCCATGTTTAATCCCCGCTCGGGGAACTGGGTCCCACCTGCCACAACTATGAGTTCCCATGTCCCAACTAAAGATACCACATGCCGGAACGAAGACCCAGCATGGCCAAAGAAATACAAATAAGTTTAAGAACAAAATAAATGAGACATAAAGAGAAATAAAAGAATACTGGAGTGGGTAGCCTATCCCTTCTCCAGCGGATCTTCCCAACCCAGGAATTGAACCAGGGTCTCCTGCATTGCAGGATTCTTTAACAGCTGAGCTACCAGGGAAGCCAAATAAATAAAAATAAATAAATAAAAAATGACTCACCAGCTGCCATACCGAGAAAGGCTCACACAGGCCTTTGCAATAATCAGGGAGAGAGGAAGTTGTCTTGGGCCCGGGATGTTATACTGGTAGAGACAGTGGGAGGCCAGACAGACTCTACAGTATTGATGTACCCACGGGAGCTGATCAGTGAGAGCTCAAGAAGGATACAGCCTCGAGGTCTGGGGCGGGAGCCGTGGGAAGGAGGAGTGTACATTTCCTGAGATGGGGTGTCTGTGGTGGGGAGTAGGGACTGGAGGGACTGAGACTCTGGTGTTGGCAGTTTCCCAAGTGGCTCAGTGGTAAAGAATCCGTCTGCCCAGGCAGGAGACATACGTTCGATCCCTGGGTCAGGGAGATTCCCCTGGAGAAGGACACGGCAACCCACTCCAATATTCTTGCCTCAAGAATCCCATGGACAGAGGAGCCTGGCGGGCTACAGTCCATGGTGCTGCAGAGAGTCAGACATAGCTCAGTGTCTAAACAACAACAACAGTTATTTTATATAAAACTATATTTCACATGAATATATTTCTGGGCCCTCCCAGGACTCCCTGAAATAGCATTATCTCAGTATATGTCTTGGGCCCTCCCGGAAGGTTCCTAATGTTGATTGTTTGAGAACCACTTGGTCAAAAATACCATGTAATATGCTTTAGATTAGTGATTAGCCTAGAAAAGCAATTACTAAACTTAAAAAAAATAATAATAATAATCCACCAAACCTCCAGAACTTAGCTATCTTACAGGAAAGCAATAGATTTAAGAAAATAATAATTCATGTCTCCATCATTCCAAAAATGCAAAGCATCCTGAGAATAAAAACATGAGTATTTCCCCCTGTCTTCTTCATTTATATCGGGTTAGCTTCTTTGTGCCTCTGATACAGATGGTGTTAGAACTATTGGGCAGGCGTCTTGAAGCGAAACCATCTATAAGTCCTTTGTGGTGAGTGGCATCTATATTTGCTCAGTTTCTGGGCTTCCCAGGTGGCGCTGGTGATAAAGAATCCACCTGTCAATGCAGGAAACATAAGTGACTCGGGTTTGATCCCTGGGCCTGGAAGATTCCCCTGGAGAAGGAAAAGGCTACCCACTCCAGTATCCTTGCCTGGAGAATCCCATGGACAGAGGAGCCTGGCGGGCTACAGTCCATAGGGTCACAAAGAGTTGGACATGACTGAAGCGACTGAGATGTACACGCACATGGCAAAAAAATGAGGGAAGGACCCCCGATTTCACACACAGTTAGTCATCCTCGTATACATATCTCAAAAGGAGATTTGTCGGGGTGGCGGGGGAGTTGTTCTAGGACCTGGTCTCTCTTGATAGCTGAGAAGGTCCAGGTTTATGCAACAAATGAGAAACGGTGAAATGACAAACATGTTAGCCATCTGTCATCCCATTTGTAATGTGGATTAAACAAAAAAATGGTTTGTTTTTGCTGATGTGTCCATGTGGCTCTTAACTTTGGACTAAAGGATGTTAAGCTTCAGGTCCAGTCGGATGAAAACTTATTTGTGTGAGTTGGCCCTGGGTTGCTGTTTTTTTCTTTTCAGAATTTTCAAAGGTATTTCACCATTGCTGATGTGTTTAATGTCACCCAACCTGAAAAGAATTTGACTGTGTTTTACAGAATTTTGTCAATTTCAGTACAGTGAAAATTTGGCAGGGTTGTAGTGGTGTGAAACTACCTAGATTACAAACATGGTCCAAAGGCATATGTCTTATCATTCAGTGGGCTTCCCTGATAGCTCATTTGGTAAAAAAAAAAAAAAAAAAAAAAAAAATCCACCTGCAATGCAGGAGACCCTGGTCCAATCCCTGTGTTTGGAAGATTCCCCTGGAGAAGGGAAAGGCTACCCACTCTGGCCTGGAGAATATGGGGTTGCAAAGAATCGGACACAACTGAGTGACTTTCACTACTGTTCTGTAGACTGTATTTCAATTTGAGGCTTAAAAAGTGGTTCTTAATGCTGGGAAAGACTGAAGGCAGGAGGAGAAGGGGACGAAAGAGGATGAGATGCTTGGATGGCATCATCCACTCGATGGATGTGAATTTGGGTAAACTCCGGGAGTTGGTGATGGACAGGGAGGCCTGGTGTGCTGTGGTCCATAAGGTTGCAAAGAGTCAGACACCACTGAGCGACTGAACTGCACCGAAGTGCTTATTTTCAGCTATCCTACATGTAAAGGGCAGTGTTCCTGCGTTGACCCTGCAGTCATTACATGTGCAGAAATGGTGCTTCCGTGGTAGTTGTTCAGTCACTCAGTCGTGCCCGACTCTCTGTGACCCCATGGCCGGGCAGCACGCCAGGCTCCCCTGTCCTTTGCCGTCTCCTGGAGTTTGCTCAAACTCCTGTCCATGGAGTCAGTGGTGCTTTCGTGGTCATCCTCGACACCGAACTCTGTCTCCTGCGATTTCAGATCCGTCCGCACCCCCGGCCCCAGCCAACCTCCGGCTGGCGAACTCCACCGTCCACAGTGACGGAAGCGTGGCCGTGACCATCGCGTGGGATGTCCCCGAGGAACCAGACATCCCAGTGCACCACTACAAAGTCTTCTGGAGCTGGACGGTCAGCGGCAAGTCCCTTGTGCCAACCAAGAAGAAGAGGAGGAAGACCACAGATGGGGTAAGTGCCCATTCTGGGGAGGGAGCCCGGCGTCTCATGGAGGGGTTGAACTCAAGGCTCCCAGTTTAAGAACAGCCTCCGGTGAGCCCAGAAGAGGGGTGGATGAGGGATGAATTCCCATCTTTTTCCACTGACCGAGGAGGGTCAGCAATCAGAGGACCACACTGGCCATTCAGCGCGGGACATTTTAGGTTGAGAACGCTTGAATGTCATCTGTTGACTTACTCATATCCAAAGGGCCGGCACAAACTCTAGAAATCAAAGGGCCTGGAATGATGTCCATCTTACCTGTCTAGTCACTGAAAATGGTACAGTTCAAAATGTCCTTGATATTGAGGTTAGCTTTTTGTTTTTTTTAAGCAATCCTTCTGAATTGGGGAGTTAAAGTTCGTACCTTTTGTGTTGTATATTGCAAGGTGCTCCCATCTGTAATGTCATTGCTGGAGCTGGAAACAGTTTACAAGATGTATGTTTGGCAATATATGTTTCTCGTTGATTAAAAGGACGTGGGATGGCTCATTGTCCACATACCGAGAAATCGAAACATTTCACGCAATGAGATCTCCGTAACACTGAACATTTCGCATTGTGTGACATGCTTAATTGTATAAAAACATGTCCTTTTAGTATACACTCCTTTATCTTGTTGTTATAAAACATAGATGAACAACTTCCCCTCTAATTTATAAGGTTGAATTCCATAAATTAATGTTAAAAATTGCTTTAAAAAGATAGCAAGTTTTAAAAAAAGTGAACATTCTAATGTCTGTGCCATGGAGGATCGTCAAACATGTCTCTACCCGTCCACCTCACTGATATCCAGCTGCGATGCTGTTTTGGTTTATTTGTAAGAAACTTTCTGACAGTTCCAGGTTTTATTTCGTGGCACTCTGCAACAAGCGATAACTGATAATGGGTGCTCATCTCATAGAAAGTGCTGAAAGAGATAAAGGTGGGAAATCACAGAAAGGGCAATCAGACTGTGACATGATAAAATAAATGCATGTATAATGTACGTATAGTACATGTATAGTGTATATATGGAGAAGGCAATGGCAACCCACTCCAGTACTCTTGCCTGGAGAATCCCATGGATGGAGGAGCCTGGTAGGCTGTGGTCCATGGGGTCGCTAAGAGTCGGACACGACTGACGGGACTTAGCAGCAGCAGTGTATATATAGTGCCTGGGGTATCAGATGGCCCCTAGACTAAAAGGAGATCGTGTGTGTGTATATGTGTGTATTTTGTGCATCTGCAGGATGTGTGTGTGTGTGTATCCTGTGCCATTTGCAGAGTGTATGTGTTTCCTCACCATTGCAGGGTATGCCTGTGTATTCTCTACCATTTGAAGGATGTGTGTGTGTGTGTCTGTGTGTATATGCTGTGCCATTTACAAGATGTGTGTGTCTGTGTGCGTATCCTGTGATCCTGGAAGGTGTGTGGGTGTTTCCCGTATCATTTGCAGGATATCTGTGTGTGTGTGTGTGTGTGTGTGTGTGTGTGTGTGAGAATCCGTGCCTTTTGCAGGATGTTTGTGCGTGTGTGTGTGAGTGCCATTTGCAAGATGTATGTCTGTGTGTATTTTGTGCTGTTTGCTGTGTGTGTGTGTCTTCAGCCATTTGCAGGATGTGTGTGTTTGTGTTTGTGTATTCTATGTCATTTGTAGGATATGTGTGTGTGTGTGTGTATTTTATGCCAGTTCTAGGATTGTGTATGTGTTTGAATTGTGTGCCTGGCAGGATGTGTTCATGTGCGTGTATCCTGGGCCTTTTGCAGGATGGGCGTGTGTATGTGTGTGTGTGTGTATCCTATGCCTTTTGTGGGAGTGTGTGTGTGGGTATTCTGTGCCATTTGCAGGATGGGTGTATATGTGTGTGTATCCTGTGCGATTTGCGGGATGTGCGTGTACATGTACCCTGTGTCATTTGCACGGTGCATGTCTGTGTGTCCTGTTGCATTTGCCGTGTGTGTTCCTCCACAGGGATTCAGACCCCGGCCCCAACCCTGAAACCATCGAATCCTAGCCAGTGTACCACCACGGAACTGCCCGTGTACTCCCTTTTGGCAAATATTTGAATTCTAAGACCACTAGCTTATTTCTCTTTAATTTCCAGTTCTTATAAGGGACCTTATTATCATACCCACAAGCCATGAAAACATGCTTTAAAAAGTATTCTGGCAGGTTGATTTTTCTTAACGACTTTCGGTGGAAATTTTCTCATAGAAGATGGAGGATCCACATCGGGGAGATACAGTTCCCATGTCGGGGAATGTCAGTTCGCTGGGTCTTTCCACGCGTGCGCTGACAAGAGCCTCTGCAAGTCTGTTATAAAGGGCTCTCGTGCCTGTCAGCTGCTGTCCAGGAAGGAGTGAGGGACACACGCGCGCACACACACACACACATCCTGCCAGTGGCACATGATTCACACACACATACAGTCCTAGAACTCTCTAGGAGTGAGTTATTCACCCTCACGTGACTGCAGAGCGTCCGATAATGGGATTAGTGACACAGTTGTCCAAAAAAAAGAAAAAGATGCTTTTGCGTGACGTTTACTTGGATCCACGGCACGACTGGCTCTGCTAAAGATGTAGAAGGTTCTGTGATGTTAGTCCAGGCGGAGGTCAGGTGGGAGCGGGCGGGCTCCCCAAGGACCCGGGACCTCTGGCGGGAGGCCCAGGGTGCGGGCGGCTTGTGACGCAGTCTCGTCTCCCCTCCGCCTGCAGTCTCAGAACTTGGTGACCCTGGAGCCGCTGCAGCTGGGCTGCGACTACACTGTGGAGCTGCAAGCCATCGCGTACTGGGGCCAGACGCGCCTCAAGAGCGCCAAGGTGTCCCTGCAGTTCACGTCTGCGCATGCCGCCCACAACAGTGAGTGTGCACGGCTCCGGTCCCTCACTTCCCGTCTTCACCGGGCAGGTCTTCCTACCAGCACGCGTGCGACTGTGTCCTGTGAGCCAGCACGTGTGCACGTGTGACCTTGGCGTCTTCCTCGCCATCTTTGTCTATTTCGCGTGCAGTGTTCTGGTGTCGTAATGGAAACTTCAGAAGAAAAGGTGTGTCATTCTAGCAGATGCTCATGTTGACATGATTCAGGGTTATTCTAATGGAAACTTCAGAGAGAAAGGTGTCTCATCCTAGCAGACGCTAATATTGACATGATTCAGGGTCCTTATTCTAATGGAAACTTCAGAGAGAAAGGTGTCTCATCGTAGCAGATGCTAATATTGACATGATTTGGGGTCCTTATTCTAATGGAAACTTCAGAAGGAAAGATGTCTCATCCTAGCAGATGCTGATATTGACATGATTCAGGGTCCTTATTCTAATGGAAACTTTGGAAGGAAAGGTGTCTCGTCCTAGCAGATGCTGATATTGACATGATTCAGGGTCCTTATTCTAATGGAAACTTCAGAGAGAAAGGTGTCTCATTGTAGCAGATGCTAATACTGACATGATTCAGGGTCCTTATTCTAATGGAAACTTTGGAAGGAAAGGTGTCTCATCCTAGCAGATGCTGATATTGACATGATTCGGGGTCCTTATTCTAATGGAAACTTTGGAAGGATAGGTGCCTCATCATAGCAGATGCTAATATTGACATGAATCAGGCTCCTTATGCAAATGTATCCTTATTTTTTACAGTTTTTTTTTTTTTAATGTGTCTGTGCTGGGTCTTTGTAGGTGTGAGGCCTTTTCTCTAGTAGCGGCAAGCAGGGAGTATTGTCTAGTTAAGGTGCAGGGGCTCCTCTTGGTGCTGGCTTCTCGTTGCAGACCATGGGTTCTAGGTCACACGGGCTCACTAGTTGTGATACATGGGCTTAGCATGGAATCACGATGTGTGGGATCTTCCTGGACTGGGGAGCAAACACGTGTCTCCTGCTTTGGCAGGCGGATTCTTTGACCACTGAGCCACCGGGGGAGCCCTGCCTCGGAGCTTTCTGTATGACTTTTATCTGTTTCGTAGATAGTTGTGGTGTCACAATGGAAACTTAAGAAGGTGTCTCATTCCAGCAAACGCCTGTGTTCACATAATCGGGTCTTCACGCACAGGTGTACTGGTCTTCGAGGAGGTTCCTTGTAGCTAAACTCTCAGAAACTGTTGATTCCCTCCTCAAATGCAACACGCATTTGAGGCTTTCAACCCCTTTTTTTTGTGTGTGGGTTTCACACTGTGGTCACAGTTCCCGCAGAAGGCTACCCTGTACCGCACTGGGAGCAGTGACCACGTCACCCCACGCCCACGTCACCCCACACCCACGTCACCCCACGCCGTCACCCCACGCCCACATCACCCCACGCCCACGTCACCCCACGCCCACATCACCCCACGCCCACGTCCTAGGCCCCAATGTTTCCAAGCTCGTCTATGACCATGAACTTAGTACAGAGAGAGGAAGGGCGTACGAGACCCTCTTCTCTGAGCCAGATGTTGGGTGGTGTGGTGTCTCTGGCTTTTGCTGACAGCTGGGGACTGGCGGGCAGGGCCATGGGGAGGCGCCTGGGGCCGGGCTGATGGAAGGCCGGCCCGGGAGAGGCCACAGGCATCTCTGTGAGCGTTGCTGCCCCAGGCTCACAGGGTCTGCCTTTTGTCACGGCTCCGGGCCTGGGTCTGACCAGGATGGTGTGACAAAGCGTCTAGAATTTAGGAAAGAGTAGGTTGAAGCTGAAACTCCAGTACTTTGGCCACATGATGCGAAGAGCTGACTCACTGGAAAAGACCCTGATGCTGGGAAAGATTGAGGGTGGGAGGAGAAGGGGACGACAGAGGATGAGATGGTTGGATGGCATCACCGGCTCAGTGGACGTGAGTTTGGGTAAACTCCAGGAGTTAGTAATGAACAGGGAAGCCTGGCATGCTTCGGTTCATGGGGTCGCAAAGAGTCAGACACGACTGAATGACTGGACTGAACTGAACTGAGGCTGGCTCCTCTAAGTTAGATGCAGGGATTGTCCATAACCATCTTCCTTGAGCTTGCGTGCATGCTCAGTCATGTCCAACTCTGTGACCCCCATGGGCTCCTCTGTCCATGGGATTCTCCAGGCAAGAATACTGGAGTGTGTTGCCATTTCCTTCTCCAGGAGATCTTCCCGACCCAGGGATGGAACCTGTGTCTCCTGCATTGGCAGGCGGATGCTTTAACCACTGACTGAGCCACTTGAATAGCCCTAATTATCTTGTACCACCTGGAAGATAGTGGGATCCAAAGGAGCAGGTCCACTTGAAACGGTGTTTTCCAAAAGACTTCTCGAGACAGAGCTTCCCACCTATTTCAGAAATGGTCCTTTGGGAGATTAAATGGATTTGAAAAGTCCACTATTTCTGTGTGTAAGTCTGGGTACCCTACAACTTTTATGTAAAAATTCTCACGGAAACATTTCTGAACATTTAATAACTTCATTGATTTTTTTTTAAAGCAGTTTTTTTTATTGAAGTGTAGTTGATTTACAACGTTGTGGCAATTTTCTGCTGTAGAGAAAAGTCATTTCAGTTATATATATATGTATATATATATATATATATGTACATTTTAGAAAGTATATTCTTTGCCATGATGGTTTATCACAGGATATTGAATATAGTTTCCTGCGATACCAGTAGGACCTTGCTGCTTATCCATTCTCCATATCAAAGCTCACAACTGCTAACCCCAACCCTCCCACTCCATCCTTCCGCATCACCTGCCTCCTTGGTAATCACCAGTCTGTTCTCAGTGGCTGTGGGTCTGTTTCTGCTTCATAGGTAAGTTCATTACTGTCATATTTTAGATTCCACAAGCAAGGGATATCATACAGTATTCATCTTTCTCTGTCAGACTTAATTCACTTAGCATGATCATCGCTAGGTCCATCCATGTCACTGCAAACAGCACTGGTTCATTCTTTTTCATGGCTGAGTAATATTCCACTGTCTATATGTACTACATCTTCTTTATCCATTCCCTGTGTTGATGGGCCTTTGGGCTGTTTCACATGTGTTGGCTGTTGTGAATAGTGCTGCAACGAATGTAGAGGTGCATGTACCTTTTTGGATTATACTTTTATCTGGATACATGCCCAGGAATGGGGTAGCTGGATCATATGATAGTTCTACTTTCAGTTTTTTTTAGGAACTTCCATACTGTACCATAGTGGCTATACCTACCATTCACTAATTTCTTTAAATGCAGTCCTACATTCATTCATCCAGTATTCCTGGGCTTCCCTGGTGGCCCCGCTGGTAAAGAACCTACCTGCAATGCAGGAGACCTGGGTTCAATCCCTGGATTGAGAAGATCCCCTGGAGAAGGGGAAAGCTACTCACTCCAGGATTCTAGCCTGGAGAATTCCATGCACTGTATAGCCCATGGGGTCGCAAAGAGTTGGACACGACTGAGCAGCTTGCACACTTTGATTAATTCATCAAACTGTGTCTAACTATGGGAATAGTTACTATATTATACTATCATAGATTGCACTAGAGTATAATTGCAATAGAGTATATATGTCATATACATAGCAAAAAGTATATATTTAAATGAGTATATATAGTATATAGAGTATGTGTATGTGTACATTATACAGTCTGTATGTACTATGTATTTCTGTGTATTCTATGTAATACTGTGTCTTCATGTATTCACACGAACTCACTCACATTTTACTGCATTAGACGCACTTGATGTCGGCCTTCCAAGAGCCCAGTGTGGAGTCTGTAAACGCGTGGCTGGGATAACAGAGAGACTAGCCCATGGCGCAGAAAGCTGCAGGGGAATCATGGAGGCAGACAGACTGACGTGGCGGTAGGCATTGAGCCTGCCAGCCTTCTCCCAGACCCTGCAGTGCAGGTGCTCCATGGAACACTGGTCATCACACTGCATGCGTGCAGCGCTGGAACAGAGCGCTGTGTGTGCAGAGAACCAGCGTGGGGATGGGGGGGGGGCGGGTAATGAAGCAGGGGGAAGCACTCCCTGCCCTTGGAGACTGCGGTCAGTCCCGTGGGTGTCCTGCCGTCCGTGTGCCGAGGCCACCCTGGGCCCCCCCCCACCCGATGCCCCCCCCACCCACCCAACCCTGAAACCAGAGCTGTATGTTGGGCTGCCCGCCTGGCACGGCTGCTGGGGTGGCTGACAGGTTCTTAAACTGGAACGTCCTCCAAGCCACACTTTTCCCATCTTCTTACCCCTGTTTGTCTGCATGGCCCTCCTGACGGCCCCCCCCGCCGCCCACCACCCACCCAGAGCACCTGTCTCTCAGCCCTTCTGTTCGAGCCCGAGGTCAGCAGAGGGCGTTTTTCATGCCTCAGTTTACCTCTCTCCAGACATCCAGTTCATTAGGAATCAAAGTCCCCTGGTCCCCTAATGTCACCTGCGACGTGGGGCCCTGTCCAGTTCTTGCCCTTGTCCAGGTAACTGCCACTTTCCTTACACAGTTCATCTCCTAATTCTTACTGGGTTCCAGCCTTTCTCCCGAATCTCTCTTACAGATGACTGCCAGAAGAGTCTCGAGAAAACAGCATCCAGCCTCACAGATTTCTTCTCCTCTCAAGACTGTCACGTATTCCCGTCTTCACTTCTGCCCAGATCTCATGCTTTCCTGTTTCCCCAACTTATCACTCCCCGATTTCTCCTCAAACCAAAATCCTGTAACTGTCTGATTCTCCTGAGACTGTAGTTTTTCTTCTACCAGTGGTGGGCATTTCTGTCTTCTGCAGAGTAAGCTGGCCTTTTGGTGTCTTTCCAGTTTTCCCAATAAACAGCGTTCCTTCCCCCTTAGAGGCTGGTACAGCTGAGATCCATGAAGGGGCCGTATGAGTCCCATCATTTAATGTGCGTTTCTGCCCACAACCAAGAATACCATGGACAGGGGAGCCTGGTGGGCTACAGTCCGTTCAGCTCAGTCGCTCAGTCATGTCCGACACTCTGCAGCCCCATAGACCGCAGCACGCCAGGCCTCCCTGTCCATCACCAACCCCCGGAGTCCATCCAAACCCATGTCTATTGAGTCAGTGATGCCATCAAACCATCTCATCCTCTGTCGTCCCCTTCTCCTCCTGCCCTTAATCTTTCCCAGTGTCGGGGTCTTTTCGAATGAGTCACCTCTTCACATCAGGTGGTCAAAGTACTGGAGTTTCAGCTTCAACATCAGTCCTTCCAATGAACACTCTGGATTGATATCCTTTAGAATGGACTGGTTGGATCTCCTTGCAGTCCAAGGGACACTCAAGAGTCTTCTCCAACACCACAGTTCCAAAGCATCAATTCTTCGGCGCTCAGCCTTCTTTATAGTCCAACTCTCACATCCACACATGACTACTGGAAAAACCATAGCCTTGACTAGACAGACCTTTGTTGGCAAAGTAATGTCTCTACTTTTCAATATGCTGTCTAGGGTTGGTCATAACTTTTGGCTACAGACCATGGGGTCGCAAAGAGTTGGACACGACTGAGCCCGTGTGTACTGTTTTACCTAACCAAGACAGAGATCTGATACTTAACCTACCAAAGGCCACTTTATTCTAGGATTAGCTGATTCCTGTCAGAAGGATCAGAACAATAAAAATAAAAAAATAAGTGATACTGCAAAGTGCCTGTCATAATACATGTTACTTGGGTTTCAGGGTGGCCTCCAGCAGACACTGTCTTTACACAGGATTAGGCAGGACACAGCTGAGTATGTGTCAGGACATGCTTTGTAACCCAATGTTGATGTATAATCCCATAAACACTAATGTGCGCCTGTGACAGGAACACAATGTGTTTTCGTCATGAACCAACCAGAAGTAAAGACTCATTACAACTTTCCAGTTTAAGCAAGGGAAATTATATTTTATAGGAAGCAGTGCTGTAAATGTCAGCATATAAATTACTTTTTGAATGCTGTTTTTCCAGGCCTGCAGGCTACTAGGTGTTTTAATGATAAATGTTTCTATGAAAGCAAGGCCTGCATGTTCACACAGTTTTATAAAAGGGTCCCTTGAAGGAAAGAAAGACATAATACTATCTTTAATGGAAACGTAACTTGCTCTCTTGGGAGGCAGGAGGAACATTTCCAGGGGTGACAGATTCCAAGTGCTTGACGTAGTTGCCTCATGGAGCTGGAAGAACATTCCAGCTCTGCAAAATAAAAATGGGGCAGAGAGAAAAGGCTCCCAGTCTTGGTAAAGTTCATCTTAACTTTGACATCCGGAGAAACGGCCTAGTCACTCAGTTCTCTTTAAGTTTCAGGACTATTAAAGAGTATAAATCAGGCCTCATACATTTTCAGGATGTGGAAAAATGACTTTTATATTCCATTTTTGTTTCCTGCTGGAAGTGGAGGACACGCCCAGAGGGAGGGACGTTCCCCCAGGGCTGAGGTTAGACTGTGTCCTCCGTGTGGGGGCGTGTCCCCGGTGTGGGCGTGTCCCTGGTGTGGGGGCGTGTCCTCTGGGACATGTGCTCTCTGTGTGGGCGTGTCCTCTGTGTGTGTGTGGGGGGGGTGGGCGTCTCCTCTGTGTGGGGGCGTGTCTCCGGTGTGGGGGCGTGTCCTCTGGGGCGTGCTGTGGGGCGTGTCCTCTGTGGGGGGCGTGTCCACGCATGCTCACGCTGGACTCATTCAGTAAAGCAGCAGACGCTCAATCCTGAGATATATATGCTTTTTTACGTCCATAGTGAAAACTAAGCATTTCCATGGGATATAACAGGCCGAAGGAGGACAATATTCCGAGAGATTAAACAATCGTCTAGATTGTCTTGGTTATCTGCCAGTGAATTCTTAACACCACAGATTATTAAAGGAATTAGATGCATAAGTGAGCTTATGAAACATTTAAGATTTGTGAAAAATCTTAAACCTTCTACAAAAGCTTTTTATAGGAGTACAGTTGATTTTACAGCATTGGCGTTCGTTTCTGCTATACAGAACAGGCAGTTAGATGTATACATGCATATCCCCTCTTTTTAGATGCCTTCTCATATAGACCATTACAGAGCATCAGGTGGAGTTCTACGTGGTATAGAGCAGGCTCTCCTTCAATTTGGTTCAGTCGCTCAGTCGTGTCCAATTCTTTGGGACCCCATGGACTGCAGCACGCCAGGCCTCCCTGTCCATCACCAACTCCCGGAGTTTGCTCAAACTCACGTCCATCAAGTCAGTGATGCCATCCAACTATCTCATCCTCTGTTGTCCCCTTCTCCTCCCGCCTTCCATCTTTCCCAGCATTGGGGTCTTTTCCAGTGAGTCAATTCTTCGCATCAGGTGGCCAAAGTATTCGAGTTTCAGCTTCAGCATCAGTCCTTCCAATGAATATTCAGGACTGATTTCCTTTAGGATGGACTGGTTGGATCTCCTTGCAGTACAAGGGACTCTCCAGAGTCTTCTCCAACCCCACAGTTCCAAAGCATCAATTCTTCAGTGCTCAGCTTTCTTTATAGTCCAATTCTCACATCGATACATGACTACTAGAAAAACCATAGCTTTGACTAGACGAACCTTTGTTGGCAAAGTAATGTCTCTGCTTTTTAATATGCTGTCTAGGTTGGTCATAGCTTTTCTTCCAAGGAGCAAGTGTCTTTTCATCTCATGGCCGCAGTCACCATCTGCAGTGACTTCGGAGCCCCCCAAAATGAAGTCTGTCACTGTTTCTATTGTTTCCCCACATATTTGCCATGAAGTGATGGGACCAGATGCCATGATCTTAGTTTTCTAAATGCTAAGTTTTAAGTGAAGTTTTTCACATTGCTTATTGGTTTGGTTTATCATCAATACAGGTTGAGATGTTATATCTCATAGGAGTACTTGGAATTCTGAAAGCAGAAAAGGACATTATTTCTACAAGTACAACTTCTAAAAGTCAGTGAGCTGCAAAAGGCAAGATTGGAGGCCAGGAATTTTTGGCATCTTTCCTACTAAGCCATGTGAACTCTCCTCTGTCTCTCTCAAGATGGAGGAATCTAATATGCTGGTCCTTCAGTGAAAACCCACTGAGTATATTGTTTTCATGAAATGGTATTTTAATCTTATTTCATTGACTTTCTTCACAAGTGCCAAAAAAAATTCATATATTGTGAGAAATACTATTTCCACTTATTACTGAAATCAGAGCATCTATCAAGGTTGGTGAATGTGTGTTTCTTACCAAGTTAAATCTACACAGCGTACTTTTAGGTTTGCATTACAGCCTGTGATGAAGGGGGGAGTGTGGTCAACCTGGGCAGGAAGGAATCTGTGGATGAATTACGTCTTACTTTAAAAAACAGGCACTAAATACGAAAGGATCACAGAGGGAACTCAGATGCACTGGGATTAGCCTCAGATTCCATGTGGCTTTTTAACCAGTAAATCAGAATGTTGTGCACTCTTGCAGAAGAACAGCTCGGGAAAAGTAGAAAGAGTGTGATGCACACGCAGCCTCCCCTTCAGAGACGCCGGCCCGCTCGTCTCCTGGAAGTCGGGGCTCCGTTCTTCCAAGACAACCAGCTACAAGTCAAGGTCTACTGGAAGAAGACCGAAGGTGAGCAGATGCTTGCTTAGTCATTGCTGTTCTTGAGTTTCATTTTAATATTGGAGTACGGTTGATGTACAGTGTTGTGTGAGTTTCAGGCGTGCACCAAAGAGATTCAGTTATACATATATACAGATGGATTCTTTTTCCAGTTGCGTTATTACACTGAGCAGATCTCCCTGTGCTATATACAGTAGGACCCTGTTAATTATTTTCAAGATATTAGCGTGTACCTGTCCAGCCAGTCTCCCAGTCTATTCCCTCCCCACCCTCACCAGGCCCCTTTGGTAACTGTCGATTTGCTTTCTAAGTCTGTAAGTCTGTTTCTGTTTTGTAAATATGTTCATCAGTATCATTTTTGTTTTTTAGATTCCACAGAGAAGTGATGCCCTGTTTCTTTCCCTGACTGCCCTTACTGTGATCATCTCTACCTCCCTACCCATGTTACTGCAAATGGCCTTTATTTCATTCTTTATGAAGCTGACTGGTATTCTGTATGTACATGTACCATATGTATTCCTCTGTCGACGCACACTGAGGTCGCTACCATCTCTTGACTACTGTAAATAGTGCTGCAGTGGGGTGCATGTGTGTTTTCAAATGATGGTTTTCTCCAGGTATATGTCCAGGAGTGGGATTGCTGGGTCACATGGTAGCTCTGTTTCTAGTCTTCTTAGGAACCTCCAGACTGTTCTCTGCAGTGACTGTACCAATTTGCATTCCCACCAGCAGTGCAAGAGAGTTCCCTTTTCTCCACATTCTCTCCAGCATTTATTGTTTGTAATCTACAAACAATTGTTGATGAGAGTCGTTTTGACTGGTGTGAGGTGGTAACTCATTGTAGTTCTGATTTCTGTTTCTGTAATAACTAGCAACGCTGACCATCTTTTCATGTTCCTCTTAGCCATCTACATGTCTTTGGAGAAATGTCTTTTTAGGTCTGATTTTTGATTGGGTTGTTTGTTGATATTGAGGCGTATGAGCTGTCTTGTGTATTTTGTAAATTAAGCCTTTATCAGCCATATGCAAATATTTCCTCTCATTTCTAGGTTGTCTTTTTGTTTTATTCTTTTGTTTGCTGTGCAGAAGCTCTGAGGTTTAATTAGGCCCCGTTTGTTTATTTTCTGATTTTATTTTCATTACTCTTAAGAGGTGGATCCAAAAAGATCTTGCTGTGATTTATTTCAGAGAGTGTTCTGCCTGTGCTTTTGTCTAAGAGTTTTATGCTTGTTCTTTGCATTGAAGAGTTCTGAGTCGTCGGGATGCTTGTGCAAACGTCACCATCAAGCCACACTATTGCTCTTAAGGAAACAGCTGAACAAAACGCATGCACGCTTTCTTTTTTATCGAATGCCTTGCTGCTCTGAAGTTTGAATGGGCTGCCACTGGTTCCCAGGAGTGTGTATCGCGTTCTGAAATCTGCTACCGACATTGCATCATTTCAGGGATATTGACCTGTCTTCACCTCTTTCCTAGGAAGAGGTCTTGTGTCTCAAACACTCAAAACACTCACTATTTTGCACTGTAAAGCTCTGTTTCTAAAGTAATTATTTATTAAAAAGGTGCATAGCACAAATAATTTGAAAGACAGGAAAAAGGCCAATTCTCTTCGTAGTATTTCACGGAAGTAGAGTTTTAGTGGATTTGCTTACACAAGTTTATTATACCTCTCGTTTCTCACCCAGTTGTATATGTATGTGTACGCATTAGTTTCTCAGTGGGGTCCGACTCTCTGCGACCCCATGGACTGTCCATGGGGTTCTCCGGGCAAGAAGACTGGAGTGGGTTGCCATTCCCTCCTCCAGGTGATCTTCCCAACCTGGGGATCGAACCCAGGTCTCTTGGATTGCAGGCAGAGCTAACAGGGAAGCCATTTTTATGTGTGTGTGTGTGTATGTAAAATGAACACATTTTCAAATACTGTATTTGCATTTTATATACTGTCACTATTTTTAATAACATTTTGAAATGGCTACCTTGATATTACGTGTCGTCATAATTGCACTGTAGTCAAACATTTAGTTGCCTTCAGAATTTCTGTCTTGTCATTAATACTGCAGTGAACATTCATCCTTAGAATAGATTCTGTTTTCTTTTCATCTCTGAGATAAATTCCTTTCATGCCTTTGTTTTGTTTCCCAGGAGTATTTGTTTTGCATTACTGAAAAACCGCTTTTAGAGATAATTGACATACATATTATCACTTCTATGCATTTTAAGACACAAAAATCTATTTTAGGCAAAATTGTTTCATGAATTAGTTTTCAAAATTCTTACTTTTCTGAGGCGCTATTTTACTCAGTGTATCAGCTCATGTGCCATTCGGGATATTGTCGCTGGAGCTCTTGTTCTGGAATTTTCCTCCAGGCTGCTCAGATTCATTCTGTAGCCAAAATAACATTACCAATAAGGTTTAGTGTTTTATTGCTATCATATGTTAATTTAAATTTATTCAATATTACTATTACAAAGTATGCATATTGCAACATTTAACTTAATTGATTAATTTTACTATTAATATTAAATTAACATTAAATTGTAGAATTTATTTAATCTCTAGTACAGTCAGCTCTGCACATCAGGGGTTCTGTATCTGCATATTCACCCGCCTGTGGGTCCCATACTCTTTGTCTGTGGTCAGCAGCTGGTTGAACCCAAGGATGCAGAACCCGGAGGTACAAAGTGCTCACTGTGGGACTCCGGCATGCATCCATTTGGTATCCAAGGCGGGGGTCCGATCCCCAACCTCCAGTGGTACCAGAGGATGACTGTCCTTACCAATTTAAAATTCGCATTGTACGTCCATATGGCATTAGTATCAATAAAATAGCACATTTTATCACTGAACGTGTAAGCATCTCATCTGATGAAAAGGTAGACAAAGGAGATGCACACATCCTAGGCACACAAGAGTAAACCACCAATATCCTGACTTCTGAACGTGCACATGTGTTGTGCGTGTACTTGAATTTATACAGATGGGATCTTAGCTCTCTGTGCCTGGCTTCTCGCAGTGAACAGTACATGGGGGATGCTCTCCCAGTCTCCTGCAGGAAGCGGTGATTCAGCCACTCATGCTGCTGTACCGTTTGTCCCCAGGACACCTCCAGCTGTGAAGTTTCTTGTCAGCAGTGGCTGGACATTTGGTCTGCCCCAGTGATGGGCTGTGTAAGAAGGCCTTCCCTGGCGGTCCAGTGGTCAAGACTTCACCTTCCAAGGCAGGGGTTGCAGGTTTCATCCTTGATCAGGAAGCCAGGATCACACGTGCCTTGGGGCCAAAAGCAAAACGAAACATTAAGCAGAGGGATGCTGTAGGAAATTCAATACTTTTCAGAGGATCCGCATCAAAGAATCTTAAAGATGGAAAAGAGCAACGCTGATGTGAACATCCTGTGAAGACACCTTCTGAGTCACACATGTGTGTACATATTCCCCCCACCCAGAGGTGAGACGCCTAAGTCAGAGGATGTCGACCCCCTAGAAGAGTTTTGCACAGGTCTTGGACCATGCACCCACCCACCAGGAGGCTTAGATGTTCTCCACACAGTCTTCCCAAGCGGAGACTCCATCTTTTTCTCACCTCAGCGCTTCTAGTAAGCGTGTCGTGATGGCTCACCGCTCTGTATTTGCACATTTCAGGTCGTCCCGGGGTTGAACACCTCTTCGTGAGTTTATTGGCGATGGGGCTTTTCTTTTCCAAAGCACGCTCCAGGGGGTTTAGCCCGTCTGTCCTGCAGGAGTCCTTTATGTATGGAGTATGTGAGTCATCTGCTGGTTTCATCTCAGTTTCTTTCTACTTTTATTTCTTTCGCTTTCTTAATAGTTCTTACTTTGGTGCTTCACTGGGCTTCCCTGATAGCTCAGCTGGTAAAGAATCTGCCTGCAATACAGGAGACCCCAGTTCGATTCCTGGGTCAGGAAGATCCGCTGGAGAAGGGATAGGCTAACCCACTGCAGTATTCTTGGGCTTCCCCTGTGGCTCAGATGGTAAAGAATGTGTCTGCAATGAGGGAGACCTGGGTTCGATCCCTGAGTCAGGAAGATCCCCTGGAGAAGGGAAAGGCTGCCCACTCCAGTATTCTGGCCTGGAGAATTCCATGGACTGTATAGTCCATGGGGTCGCAAAGAGCAGGACATGACTGAGGGACTTTCACTTTCACCCGGGGCTTCACTAGTGGATCAGATGGTAAACGATGTGTCTGCAAAGCGGGAGACCCGGGTCTGATCCCTGGGTTGGGACGATCCCCTGGAAAAGGGAAATGGCTATGCTGGTTTTAATCTAGGTCTTTCCTGGTTTTATCTAAGCCTTTCTCTACTTTTTTTTTTAATAGTTCTTCCTTTAAGAGATGACCAGTTCATCATTTCATTTCCTTCAGGTTCACTGTGCTCCGCGTCCTGTGTGAGCGCTGTCCTCACACACGGTCACTCAGATGCCCTCCTTACATCCCAGGAGGGGCGTTGTTCCATCTTTGCTTCTCAGCTGACTTTCATTCGGATTTCATTTCTGTCATAAGGATCCAACATAGGGCATCAGCGTTCCCTTATTTTTCTTTCCCTCTTTTCCCCCCCAACAGAAAGAAAGAATTTGTTTATTGACGCATAGTTGATTTCCAGCATTTTCTATGAAAATCATCATGTTGTCAGTAAATCATAAGAAAGTTACATTTTCCTTTCCAGGCTTTGCACATTTTTGCTTCTTTGCCCTGTCTTAACGCTGGCTGAGGCTTAGAGTACAATGTTGACTGAGAGTCATGGTTACAGACATCATGTTTGCTTGAAATTCCTTTCTGCCTCTTTCATTTCTGTTTATTCAAAATCAGGATCAGTCAGAAGCACTTTTTTCTTTGCTTTCTTCTGGGTTTCTTGATCAATTTACCAGTAATTAGAAAACAGGTCTAACCGTTTCACTAGTAATATGGAAACAGGTGGTAGTATTGTTTATAAGTAAGAGAAAGCATTGACAGTTAAGTGTCTCCAAGCAACCATCGTATGTAAAACACGGTTCACTTGTAGTACTCAGACCAGAGTAACATGGAGTTTTAAGAATACTTTCTTAAGTAAGGGTGGAACTTAAGATCCCCTAGAGCAGCGGTCCCCAACCTCGGATCTAATGCTTGATGCTCAGAGGTGGAGCTGATGGAATAAATAATAAGAGAAAGCACACAATAAAGAGAATGCCACTTCTGAAAGTGCGGTCGCTCAGTCTTGTCTGACTCTCAGCGACCCCACAGACTGTAGCCCACCGGGCTCCTCCATCCATGGGATTTTTCCAGGCGAGAGTAGTAGAGTGGGTTGCCATTTCCTTCTCCAGGAATGCACTTGAATCATCTCAAAAACCATTCACCCCCACCCCCTACCCCTATCCGTGCAAAGACGGTGTTCCACGAAACCGGTCCCTGCTACCACCTCGAAGGTCGGGGACCGCTGCTCTGGAGGGAAGAGGGGTCAAGACCTGTCTCAACGGCCCGCACAAAGCGCCGCGAGGCGGCCGGGGACCCCGACAGTGAGTGCCCAGAGGGACTGGAGAACCCTGGGGAGCTCTGAGACAGAGGCGGAGAGGAGCCGGGGTGGTTTCCAGAGGAGGGAAGGGGCGAGCGAGGTCAGAACCGCCCTGAGACGGCGTGTGAGGTGTGGATTCTCCAGGCAAGAACACTGGAGTGGGCTGCCATTTCCTTCTCTGCTACCTTACGCTACTGACTTGAAAAGGAAAGACAGGCCGTGGACGGTCCATGCCCATGGGACTGTGTCCTTGCAGATTCGTGGCGTCACTGAGGTTTATGCACCAGTCCTGGGATGCTGTGGTCCTCGGTGAAGATACCCGTGCAGGGTGTGGTGCTGGGCTGGAGGGGCCCTGAGTCCACGTTCCCACCCGATGCTGCCCTCTCGAACCGGAACACACCCTGGGCGTGGTCTGCTGATCTGTTCTGTGTAATAGAGGCCCGGAGTATAGTGCTGCCCCCTAAGGCTCCCCCGTAGGAAGGCGATGCCCCATCTGGCAGTGCAGATGGGGGGCTGGCCCGTCTCCCTGCAGATGTGGCTTGTGGCACCATGAGCTCAGTGTGAGGGAGATAGTAACGCGGAGCCGCCTCCAGAAACAGCAAGAGGAGAGCCGCTGATTCAGGCTTGAGGCTGCCTGTCAGAGGCCGGGGTCACACCGAGAGCCCGTGAGGCTGCTCTGAAAAAGGGCAAGAAAGAAACAGTGCAAGTCGCTCAGTCGTGTCCGACTCTCTGCGACCCCGTGGACTATACAGGCCATGGGATTCTCCAGGCCAGGATACTGGAGTGGGTAGCCTTTCCCTTCTCCAGGGGATCTTCCCAAGCCAGGGTTCAAACCGGGGTCTCCTGCATTGCAGGCGGATTGTTTCCTAGCTGAGCCACCAAGGAAGCTCCGGCTCAGGGCACTGGGTGCCCCAGTCCCCTGGCCCTGGGGTGGTGATGAGGTGGGCCTGGGGCCCCGAGGGTGAGGGTCTCCCCTCTGAGGATGTGCTGGGGTGTGTGTGGGCCCTGGGTCGGCCGGTCTGCACAGAACATGGGTGCCTGCAGGTGAGCCGTCTGCTCTCTGGACATAAAGCCATCCTGGGGAGGGCCGTCTCACCAGGCCCCAGGAGGTCAGAACCTCCCAGATACAGGAAACCAAAGACATCATTAAATAAAGGCAGAGGGAACGCAGAAGAGCAGGAATCTAAGGTGTGGAGTCCACTGAGCCAGCCACGGGAAGTGATTGGAAAGCCTTTGGTTTGCACAGAGATCCTCACCAAGGTGGGGTCTGTGTCCAGAGACCCAGGGCGTGCACTCGGGCCAGAGGCTTACAGAGCTAAGGGGCAGGAATGGCCATCAGATGTGTGGCTCGGTACCTGCTCCTGTGAACCAAAAGGAAGAGTCTGATCCCTTCAGCGGCAGCAGCAAATGCTTCGATTTGCTTTCTGGGCTCGAGGGATGCAGGGGTTCACCACGTACAGAAGTGAGTTTGCCATCGGGGCACACAGGGGCATCGGGTGGCGCCCTGCCCACCGACACCCACCCTGCCCAAGCCGCTGCCCACCTCTTCTGTGAGCTGTGCCCACGCCGTAGTCATCACCATAACCAACTCGTCAGCACACCGTGCTTCTGTCATGATCGTTCTGTATTCACCCGTATCCCACCTCCATCCAACCTAACTTGGACGTCACCCAGGCACTCTGTTACTTACCCAGACGCCTCCGTATTTCACGTCCACGGAGGTCATTTCAGCACGATGCGTCGAGCAGCACCACCTGTTAAAAGAAAGGGTATGAATTCACTCATTGGTTGATTTTATACTTTGCGTATAATGTACAGTTCTTCTCCAATGAACCCACAGCTCTTGATGTCTGCTGCGTAAGAACTTACAGCCTCCATTCAGGGCTTGCCGTTTTTAGCTGAACAGCATTGATGCCTGCTTGGTATCGGTTTACTTTCTGGTGGAAAAGTCTTCCTTTTCTCGTTTTCCAAAGTGCCCTAGAGCAAGTTGCCAGCGGACCGAGCACTCCATCAAACAGGTCTGCGCTCTGAAAACCTCCCACCAGATGCTTGGTTTGAGTGCAGCCGGGATGCGAGGCTGATCACCCTGGGGGTGGGGGTGTGGGTGGGGGGGCGATGCCTTTCACGGCCGCCCGGGGACTCACTGGGTGATTGATAAACCCGGCCCAGCCCCTGTTCCCACACTCAGGCCTGGCTCCACAGCACTTTTGTCATTTTTTTCCACTCGGTTGATCGCCCAAAGAAAAGACGTGGACAGAAAACGCGCCGCTTGGGCTGGAGGTGGAGACGTTACGTAAGGGATAGCACCCTGTTCTCTGGGTGCTGGGGGAGCAGGTCTGATTTGTGCAGGAGTCACACAGCCGGCGAGGCTGGCACGCACTCACTGCAGACTGTTCTCACCCTCGTCTCCCAAGGAGGAGACCCTGTCCACACGGAGCACACACGGAGTCCATACGGAGCACACACACAGCCCACCAGGGCGGCCAGGCCTTCAGGGTGAGGCAGGGCCAGGCACTTATTCCCGCCCGGCTTCAGGATTTCTTCCACCAGATTCCTCAGAAACATGCAGGATGCAGAGACTCGTGTGGAGTCTCTCTCATCACCTAGGAAACAAGAGGACGGACGCTGAGCATCCCCCATTCTCATCGGGATTCCTTACCATGGGCGCCATGGCTCGGTTAGGCTCAAGACCTCTGCGGACGCATCACACTGTCACTTTTCTCATGATTTCTTTTTTCTATCTGGTTCTCGTATCTCAGTTTCCTTTTATGCTCTGTTATGTTCCCCCCATGACTTCATTCTTTCCCCTGACTCCATTCTTGAAGATTTCTTTGATACCGACCGTTTTTAAAGCCTTCATGGAATGTGTGAAGCGGTATCGCTTCCGTTTTATGTTTTGGTTCTTTGGCCACGAGGCGTGTGGGATCTTAGCTCTCCAGACAGAGCTGGAACCGACACCCCCAGCATTGGAAGGCAGAGTCGCAACCACTGGACCATCGGGGAAGTCCTGAGCTGATTTTTTACTAAGGAAACAGTGTAGGCAGACTCTGGGGAGCCCTCCCTCCTCGGCCTGGCGGGTACCTGTCTGCATTGCCTGCAGGGTCCTATGCCTCCTGCCTTTGTCTCCGGCTTCGGGAACATCTGACCACGAGCCCTCTTGCTTGCGGACTGTTCTCTTCTTTTTCTTTTGGCTTAACTGCGTCCACCTTATAGATTCCGGTGTCGGACAGTATCACGTGGAGTGGTTTCCGGAAGTCTGCGCCCACAATGAATCCGCCAGGCTGGAGGCGTCCTCGGCCGTGACCCAGGTGAGGAGGAGGAGGCTTGAAACGGCGGGAGGGGGGCGCGGTGTGTGTGCTCGGAGGCTCTTAGACGCACCCGGCCTGTGGGTACAGCTGGGTGGGCAGAGGTGCAGGCTGAACGTGCCGTGGGGTGACTTGTTCACCGACCTGTTACCTTCGGGACAGGTGGGGAGGAGACACAGGGTCACGTGTTCACTCTCCCCTCATCCCTGCATGTTGTCAGCATGGGTGGGGGGGAGACCCTGAGACGCGGAATTTCCAGACACAGCTCACAAGGCGCTCCCAGGGCAAACGCGGAGAGCCTGGGAGTGCTTCATCTTAATCACACAGAAGCCCTGAATTCTCTTCTCCATTCTGAGTCGGATACCCCCGTGACCTAAGGCCTCATTTTCCCAGGGCGTTTCTCTGCCACCCTATCCCTCAGCATTGCCTTTAGCTACATCCCTATCTTGCGCCAGCTCCTGCAGGGGGTGGACGACCCGCCCGCCCTGGGCCCCAGCACGTGCTGTTCTGATCTTAAGGGTCCCAGACACCATCCCAGCGGCAGCTCTTGAACGGGGGCAGGAGGCCGTGACCACTGCTCACCTAGAATTGACCCACACACACCCTAACACAACTGCTGGCCTAGAATGGACACACACACCCTAACACAACTGCTCACCTAGAATTGACACAGACACCCTAACACAACTGCTCACCTACAGTTGATACGCACACCCTAAGACAACTGCTCGCCTAGAATGGACACACACACTCTAACACACCAAGGGTAAGAAACCTCACACTAGCTTGTTACAACCATCACCATCAGCTTTCCTGTTGCTGTAAGGTTCCATATGTAGTATACACGAGGTCCTGACAACGACACCCTAGAAGGGACACACACACCCTCACACACCAACGGAAGGAGACATCACACTTACTTGTTACAACCATCACTGTCAGCTTTCCTGTTGGTGTCAGATTATTTATGTGTGCACAAGGCCCTGAACCAACACCCTAGAAGGGACACACCAAGGGAAAGAGACATCACACTAACTTCTTACAACCATCACCGTCAGCTTTCCTGTTCCTATAAGGTTATCTATGTAGCATACACCAGGTCCTGACAGCGACACCCCAGAATGGACACACACACACGCTAACACACAAGGGAGACAAACCTCGCATTAGCTTGTTACAGCCGTTACGGTCAGCTTTCCTGTTCTGGTAAGGTTCTATATGTGTGCAGGAGGCCACAACAATGACATCCTACAGTGGGCACGCACACGCTCACACACAAAGAGAGAGAAACAGCACAGTAGCTTGTTACCACCATCACCGTCAGCTTCCTCTTCCTGCAAGGCCACACTCCCAGCCCCTCAGCCCTCCACTGTTGAGGCTGGCCTTGTAATTCTGTTTAATCGTCACCTTCTGGCCGGAACCAACCAGAGAGAGCCGTCCAGGAAGGGGAGGCTCCAAAATGTCTTCTCTGCCTTCAGGAAAGACTCAGGTCTAAACTGAGCCTGCATCTGGGAGGAAGCCCGAGCTAACTTTTTTTTAATAACAAATCATGTTGATAGTCACAGCTTTTCACCCTCCCTGTCCAGCCAGCTCCCCACGGTGGGTCGTGACGGTCAGAACAGGGCTGCTGTGGACCGAACGCTTCCCCCGGGTTGTTCTAGAGCCTGGGTGACCCCCCTCGCCCAGGGAGTGGGTCATGCTTGTGATTCATCTCGGTGGGGACCCTATGTGTTTTGTGAAAAGGCTGTATCACATACACACACACCGCCCTGCCACATTACAAGAAGACAACCGCCTGGGATATCATTGCATCTCCTGCCAAGTCTGTCCCCTCGTGAGATTTTTACAGCTAGTCTGTTCTCTCTGTCTCCATCTCGCTCTAGGAAAACTACATGATTCTTCCAGACCTGTCGTTCTCCTGCAAATACAAGGTGATCGTGCAAGCCGCACGGCCCCTGGGCCGCTGGAAGGCGGAGAGCGCGTCCTTCACGACCCCGCCATGCTCCGCGCTCAAGGGGAAGACCCACAAGCACTTCAGCTGCCCCGGCGTGGAGGAGGGTACGTGTCACCTGGAATCCCCGGGGGCGCGGCGGTGGGCACAGTGCCAAAGCGCGATTCACAAGGCCCTGAGACCCACAAGCATCACCCCTTTCTAGACGGCCCTAGGACAGCCCTGTCTGAAGGTAACCTGTGTATGAACGCTCACATCAGTTCAGAGGTCCAGCTGCACTTAGCGACACAGGCTTTGCTGAAGGATCAGCCCTTAGAACTTGAAAATGAAAGTTGCTCAGTTGTGTCTAACTCTTTGCGATCCCATGGACTTGGAATTCCCCATGGCGTGGAATTCTCCAGACCAGGATACTGGAGTGGGTAGCCTTTCCCTTCTCCAGGGGATCTTCCCAACCCAGGGATCGAACCCAGGTCTCCCTCGTTGCAGGCGGATTCTTTACCAGCTGAGCCCCCAGGGAAGCCCAAACCCTTAGAAGCGGGGGCCGGCATCTCTCCGCAGGTGCTGCGGGGCACCTTGTGTAATTCACTTGACTTGGGCTCAGCCCGGCCCCAGGGGTATTACCCTTCACACCCTTTCCATCCCCCGTCTCCACCTTCTGCAGCCCCAGCCCACATCGAGGGATGCTTATCCTCAGAGGCCCCGCCTGGGAGCTAATCCTGGTCACTGCCGACGGCTCTCATGGCGACCCCAGCCTTCCCCACCCACCCCCTCCCCCAGCACCGACTCCTGCCCTCTCAGTGGCCGGGTCCTCTGAGATCACGGCACTCTTTTCTGCATTGTCCACCCCCATGTGCAAGCTGGACTCAAAAATGACCCTGAGCCATGAGCAGCCACTGGGCTCAGAGCTGCAGGGATGAGGGTCTAGCTCAGATGCCATCCACCCAGGTGGCTGTGGGAACCCCCCCCCCCACCAAGGGAGGCTGCATCACTGTCCCTGGGGCCCAGAGAGCCGCAGTCTGGACAGTGCCTCCTCCCCAGGGTGGAAAGCTGTCCTCTCTCCACCCCCCAACCCCCCCACCCCACGGTTCCCCTTCCTGCACCCACAGGTCGCAGTCACGTGCGCCCCAAAGTGCAGGCCAAGCCCGAGAACCTGTCCGCCTCCTTCGCGGTGCACGACGCCAACATCACAGGGCACTTCTCCTGGACGGTGAGCAAGGCGGGCCTGCTGCGGCCGGCCACCGGCTTCCAGGTGACCTGGGCCGAGGTCACCACCGAGAGCCGGCCCAACAGCCTCCCGAACAGCATCATCTCACAGTCCCAGATCCTGCCCGCGGTGAGCACCTGTCGACCCACATCTCGGGGTGGGTCCCCCCACCATGCGGCCAGAGCATCCCTGGGGGAGGCACTCGGGTACCCCAACCCCCTCTGCAGGGCAACTTGCTGAGACTCACATGTAGGCTTTCTTCTCCTGCATGAATTCTTTTGCAACAGTCAAAACACACCGCCAGGGTTCCTGTGGGACCCCAGTGAATTCTTTTGTAAGAATCGGAACACAGCACCAGGGTTCCTGTAGGTTAACTATTATCACCATAAACTTAGGAGAAACTGTCATCTAGCTAAACGTGATGACCAGGGCCAGCTCTTAAGGAGACCTCTCCTGTCCACACAGAACGCAAAGTTTTCACCATTTTTCTGTTCTTTTGAATCCCTGTCCTTTTGGGCCAAGCGGACGTGCCCCGTTTGAAGTGTTAAATTTGGGGGGAAAGAGCTAAAAGAACCTTGTTCTTTCTCTTCATTTTCCCCTTCAAATCTGGCCAGAGCACATAATGAGCCGGAGTGCCTTCCAGGCCAACTTAATTCCTTGGCTTGGGGGCAAAAAAAAAGCATGTGTGGGCTTTTACCAACTCTCAAAACACCCTTAGAATATGCAAGTCTTGCTCCAAAAAGAGAAAAAAATAACTTAAATCCCGGAAGGAAAAAAAAAAATTGGAATTGGACAATAATTATTCTGTGTATGTGCTTAGTTTCTATTGAATTCTGAGACCATCCCCCCCCCCCAAAAAAAGCGTTGGCATAAAAAGAAACATTTTTTTGGCTGCGGGCACTGACAGATACTGTCTTTTTAAGGAGCGCAAGTTGGCGCGTTTCCCCGAGATGTGGATTATCAAGAATTCACATCACAAGATGTGCAGATGAAAACTTAAAGCCTGGGAAAGTCTTAGGTTCAGGAATGGAAAATACAGTCCCTGGGAGGGGGCGGGGGTGAGCGCCAAGAACTAGCCTGACTCATCTGAGCTCTTGGCTGCCAAGAGCCGGGGTCTCCTTTCTGCCCAGACCACCCGAGGGGTGGTTGGTCTCCAGCAAACGTGGACAGACCACGGGACCTCCGAACACGGTGGAGTCGAAGCAAGCGAACCACGCGTAACACGGTGACGTCGTGAGGGAGGCGTGGTCCCTGGAGGAGAGTCCCAACGTGGGTCGTGGTCAGAGGCGGCGCCTGACGGCCCGTGTTCCCCGACCCCTTCCCTCCCCTTCCCCAGGATCACCCAGAGCTCTCGGTCCCGGGTCTGCGGCCCGCCACTCTCTACCGCCTGGAGGTGCAGGTGCTGACCGCGGGCGGGGAGGGGCCCGCCACCATCAGGACCTTCCGGACGCCCGACGTGCACCGTGAGTCCCGGCCGGGGTGTGGGGGTCCCGCCCGCCTTGCAGACACACAGAAAGTCTTGGTGAAAAAACGAAAATCCATAGATCCAGCATTGCAGGCTCCTACCCACGGGGAGTTCTCTGAACCTGAAGCCCTCCCTCCCCTTTATACGTGCTTCCTCCCAGCCGACCTGACACGCTCCTTTTTCCCTCCCGTGCAGCCGCCTCCTCCCCTTGTGTTACTTTTTTGCCCTACAGAAGGCATGCTTCTTCCTTACCTTCTAACCGTAAATACACAAGAGGTAGGGCTTCCAGTGCAGGCGGACGTTAGAGACATAAGGCTCGATCCCTGGGCCAGGGAAGATCCCCTGCAGGAGGGCATGGCAACCCACTGCAGTTTTCTTGCCTGGAGAGTCCCAGGGACAGAGGAGCCTGGGCGGGTTCTAGTCCATGGGGTCTCTCAGAATCAGACACCACTGAAGTGACTTAGCATGCACCCACACAAGGGGGAAGAAATCTGTCATCTCGTATCATTCTAAAAATTAAGATGTTCAAATACAACTATATAAGAAATATTAGTTTGCTATGGAGCTTATTACATATATTTCTACTATATATAATCCATCGGCTTCCGTGGCGGCTCCGCTGGTAAAGAATCCGCCTGCAATGCAGGAGACCCCGGTTTGCTTCCTGGGTCAGGAAGACCCCCCTGGAGAAGGGACAGGCTGCCCACTCCAGTATCCTTGGGCTTCCCTGGTGGGTCAGCTGGTAAAGAGTCATCTGCAGTGCGGGAGACCTGGGTTCCATCCCTGGGTTGGGAAGACGCCCTGGAGAAGGGAAAGACTACCCACTCCAGTATTCTGGCCTGGAGAATTCCATGGACTGTACAGTCCTTAGGGTCGCAAAGAGTCAGACACCACTGACCCAACTTTCACTTTCACAATCTACATTACATAAATTTTCTTCACAGTATAACCCAAATCAATCTACTTGACTTCCTGCTAAATCAAGTAGATTAAAAATAATCGTCACCTATTGTTTCAAAGCAAACAGCCTCCCGGACAGCACTAAGGAGACGTGTTGGGGAGTGGTTGCAGTTATTTACCATAAAGGAGTTTTCATCCAAGTGTGTTTACTGATGTTAAAAAAAACGGGAAAGAAAATCTAGTGATCTCTTCAGGGGCCGGAACTGTTAGCTTTGGCAGTGATTGAATATGTGCTGGGTCTGTTAACCCTAAAGTCCTGGTCCGCCCCCAACCGCACACTCCCTTCCACCCTCAGCAGCCACAAGTCTGTTGTCTATGTCTGTTAGTCTGTTCTTGTTTCATAGATGTCACTCACGTGGAATCTAAAGTACGGCACAAAGGAACTTAACTATGAATCAGAAACAGACTCACAGACCGACAGAACAGACCTGTGGGAGTTTGGGATCAGCAAATAGAAACCAGTATGCATACGATGGATAAACACCGAGGTCCTACCGTGGAGCAAGGGAACTGCATCCTATATTCTGTGATAAACCACGATGGGAAAGAATATACATTGTGTGTGAGCAAGGAACCGTATCCTATATTCTGTGATAAGAAAGAAAGAAAGGGCAGTCACTTAGTCGTGTCCGACTCTTTGGGACCCCATGGACTGTAGCTCACTAGGCTCCTCCATCCATGGAATTTTCTAGGCAAGAGTGCCGGAGTGGGGGTGCCATTTCCTTCTCCAGGATCCAGGGATCGAGCCCAGGTCTCCTGCATTGCGGGCAGACGCTTTACCGTCTGAGCCACCACGGAACCATGATGGAAAAGAATATATATAGTGTGTGTACATATAAAAACAGTATATATAAAACTGTACTATATATATATACATACCGTATATGTAAAATTGAATCACTTTGGTCTACAGCAGAAATTAAACGCAACATTGTACATCAACTATACGCTAATAAAACTTAAAAACGTATGTGTTGGGGAACAAAAAGTATGCACAGTGGAATAAGTGCAGAAGGAAGCCGCAGAGTCATTTAGTGCAAGAGGATGTGGTTTGCTGGAACTGACGTCCAAGGTGCTTGAGGCCCAGGTTGGGGTGTGAGACGGAGGATGGTGAGATTAACATAGAGAGGACTGCATCTGAGTCACCTGTGGGATAGTGAGACAGAGACTTCCTGAAGGCCTTCGGGACTGCAGGGTCCAGCGCTGAAAGCTTTGAAGGTCATCGGCATGTGGGTAGTAACTGAACATGGGGGTGTGTACTGGAGGTCAGGAAGGTGAGGAGAGTGAGGCTTGGACAAGACCAGGGGAAGTGCTATGGAAACTAGGAACACTGCGGCTCAAGGTGTTGGGCAAAGAGAAGAATCTACGTGGAGGAGAGTCTTCCCAAATTATTGTGGCTAAATACCAATTTTTTTTTTTTAACAGTCATTTCAACAGCTGTATCTTAGGAGCAATGCTTTCATTTCTATTCCTGTTTTTAAACAGGTCATTTAAAATATCAGATTCTTACTTTTTGCTTCAACTCTTCCGTCACTTTAAGTTCATGTAGGTGGTGTGCTAGAAATAGTAGGCATCCACCCCCTCCACTGTTTCACACTTAAGTCTCTGCTTTATTAGTAAAAACATAGGGAAGCTAATTTTAGTTATTAGCAAAACTAGACGGCAACAATTTTGTATTTACAACAATTAGTTATTAGCAAAACTAAGTGGTAACAACTGTGTATTTACAAAAAATTAATCCTTAGCAAAACTAAATGGTAACAATTGTGTATTTAAAACAAAGAGTCTCCTGTTGAGTTTTAGATTATGTACATTGTTTTCTCAGCTTAAACTTTAAAAAGCCACGTCAAAGCTTTATGTGTTGATAAGAACTAGTGATCCTGGTTTTATTTTTTTAAATGATGGATCAGATTTGCCCCAGTAGCTTTTTGCACTTAGGAGTTTAAAGACAAATAAAAACCACCCCAGTGGAAGCGCCCTGTGTGACGCCCCGTCCCGTTTGGGACCACAATCCACCCACCACTTTTCCACCGAAAAATGTGTGTGTCATGAAAGTATGTGTTAATTTCTAAACTTTTCCGAGGAGATACAAAGGGTTCTGGCCGGCTTATATAACTATAAAGAAAGAGGCTTGTCTTCTTTTTCTTGTGATCTTATGGTTTTTCGAAGGGAACCAGAGAGCCGGGGAAGGCAGAGAGGCAGGGTGGATGTGTGTCTGCAAGTTCAGAGTCAGGGCCGGGAGGACCTGGGTGGCAGCGACCGCGGCGGGGTCCAGACACACAGATGTTCCTCCGGTCGGTCCAGCCGGGGACGGCAGCCGGACTGACACGTCTGTTCTGTCTCTAGGCCCCCATCTGAAACACCGCCATCCCCACCACTACAAGCCACCTGCAGAAAGGTACTGAGATGCTCTGAGAGCCCGTCTGAACCCTGAGCGAGTGTGGAAGCTGGCACAACCCCCCAAGGACTGGCCGTGCCCGCTGGGAGGCTCCAGGCCCTTCCCGGAGGACCGCCCGCCCCTGCCTAATAACCGCGGGGCGCTCAGCGCTCTGTCTGCCCCAGAAAACGCGCCCCGAAAACCAGGGACGTGCAGTGGGCCTTGTGAAGGCGAAGGGACAGGTTCCCGTGAGAACGGACGACACGCAGCCCAGCCCTGTTGCGCTTCTAATTCTTGCCTGCCTGTGTGGTGGAGCTCCTCCCAGTGCAGGTCTGAGATGTCCCCGAATTTGCATCAACAGATTCTCCAAAGAAGCAGTTTACACAGTTTACACACGTAATAGGCCTGCATGTAAGCAGTTACTCACTGAACACTTGGAAATTAAATTATTGATTTGATTTGCTAGATCCACGGAAGAGTATCCAGATTTTTACGCCCTAATATTTATTCAAAGATTTCTGAAGATGAATTTTTTGTTTTTAATTACCTGTGGGTTTTTTTTTTTCAACTGAAAAATCTGTAAACCTGAAATATTGCCAATTAATTTAAACCTAAAATGCTCCAGCTTCAAGCACTTCGGCTCCATTTTATACAAAGACATAGATGAGTTTGGCCTCTAAATGACAATTTCTGTTAAGACATTCCCAGCCACGAGGAGTCAACACTGCTACCCAGAGTCTGCCCTGGAGAAATTAAAACTGCTTTCTGGGGCTACTTTTTAATACTTCATCCTACAAGAAGTTTCCCTGATACTTTTATTTTTATTTTCCTTTTTTCCTTAATGGGGAAAACAGTTGCTGTTACACTTTGTTTTGACGCTTACATGTGTCTAACACGCTACAAAACCTCTTGCTTGAAATGAAAGAATCCCAACTATTGAATATTTTCAAATCTTTACTGAGATTTCCCCCCTTTTCTTAATCAAAGCAAGCGCTTTGTTTGGTAGAATATTCTCCATAATGTAGAAAAGGTAGAGGGGGACTTTGCTTTCCAGGTGGCTCAGTGGTAAAGAATCTGCCTGCCAATGCAGGAGATTCGGGTTCGATCCCTGGGTTGCAGAGATCCCCTGGAGGAGGAAATGGCAACCCACTCCAGTATGCTTGCCTGGAGAAAATCCCATGGACAGAGGAGCCTGGCAGGCTACAGTCCGTGGGGTCGCAAAGAGTTGGACACAACTCAGCAAAATAAACAGGAAACCTTTCTTTAATCCTTCAAATCTATTACATCTTATTTGAAAACTTTATGAAAAATTTAATTGAAGAATTGTGACGCTCCATACTAATGCCTCATAGCACGAACTCAAGTGAAGACACGGTGTTAGTATATGGTGCTGAGGGGAATATTGGGGCACCCTTAAACCAGAGATGTTTTAATATATTTTTTGCTTGAGGGAACACCCATGTGTATACACATGTATGTATGTGTCTGTATACTTCCGGGTAGGTATACAATATATATGGAGAAGGAAATGGCAATCCACTCCAGTATTGCCTGGAGAATCCCAAGGACAGAGGAGCCTGGTGGGCTGCCCGTCTGTGGGGTCGCACGGAGTCGGGACACGACTGAAGTGACTTAGCAGCAGCATACAATATATACATACATGTAAATACACACACATACACAGACGCACACATGTACACGTGGGTAGCTTGAGTAGAGTCGCTGCAGAAATTGCTTTCCCAAGTCACCAGTGGCGGATGCAGCTCTAAAGATGATTGGAATAATCTGTTTTCCCCATAGGCATCGATTCTATGAGAAAACAGCTTTTTGTCCAAATTAAACATTTTCACGGAACGGCGTCCTCGTCTCATTATCTACACAGGGAAAATGAGGATGTTTTCAGTCAGTGCTCTTGTGGGCCTGGAAGCCTGCCGTTGTCTTCCTTCCCAAAAGCCTGCGGTGAGCGCCCTGCTTGCCGGGGGTTGAGTTGGCGATGAGGGGCGTGAACGTGAGGGTCTAGACTCACTCCAGGAGGTCCAGGCTCTTAAGTGCGAACACCAGGTAGAGAGATACCCCTGTTATCACACGCACGCCTCTCTCCCCGGAGAACCCCGGGGCCGGTAGGCGTGGATCTCCGACGGAACAGGTCGAAAAAACTACTTCCTGCGTCTTCAACGAGCTTGGAAGCTTGATCAGGCGGGCGGTGCTTTGCAGCCCTGCGCGAGGGGCTATGTAGGGATCTCAAGGGTGCAGCCAGCTCGTGGTGCTTCGGGCTTTTTCTCTGCAGCTCCTAACGTGGTCTGGGGGCGGACTCTGCAACAGAGGATCCCTGCAGAGTCTGCGGGTTCCCCTTCTGCACGGAGACGGGAGGGACCGCCTTCACGGAGGACGCATGTGCAAACCCAGAGATGGTCGCTGAAACCACGCGTTTCCCCAGGACGCCGTACCCAGCATCTGAATTTTCAAACCCTCAGAATCTCAGAAGGGAAGTCTTCAAATTATTTTTGGCTGTGTGTTTATCGTCCGCCTTCGTCTGTCCTAAATATATCCGTAAGTATTTGTGCCAGCCCATCTTTGTACTGTTGTATAGTTTAAAACGCGGGAGTATATACATAGATGCGAAATATTATTAAATTATTAAACACTTAATATTGTAAAATTTAATGACATTTCTTTTACCTGGGTTATAGACGTTGAGCGAATACATTTTTAGTTCGGATCAAGATTCTGAAGCTTCTGTCTTCCTTAAAATACCTGAAGCAGGTCTTATGAGCATTTCATTCTGCTATAATGTTCGATAAATTTTATTAGTATTATTGGAAGAGAAAACGGTTAATTAGACAATAAAAGAAAGCTGAGTTTCATTTATAAATTTCAATAATATTTAAAATAGCAAAAATATAATTACAGTTTTTTGAATTTTTAAACATTTTCTGTAATAAAGGTCTAAAAGTTTATGTTGTTTAATTTTAAAACCAATTTAGTAGCTGATTCTCTGTTTTATTGAAATTAGATGCATTTCTCTCATATGAGACAAAGTATATTCAGTGACAGTATTTACTCTTTAAAAAAGTCAAGCTCATCAAACATATAAAGTCATCAAATACAGGTGTCTAACCTAATATACATCAGGGCAATGTGCATCTTTTTACTGAGAATATTCACTCCTCAGCTATGGGTTTATTGATCTGGGCTATCCTCTTGTTCTAAGTGGGCTCTGGGAGCAATCTTTATAAACGAATGTGTGCCCTTCACATCAGCCACTGTTTTTTAAATATACATAAATGGGAAGGAAATCAAGAAACAAGGGGATAAATGTACACTTAGAGCTGAGCAGAAACTAACACACCATTATAAAGCAATTATACTCGAATAAAATTTTCTTCAAGAGACAGTAACGTTTATGATGCTTAATTTTCTGAAATCCAAAGTTTACAAACAGATCTCTGTCCTAGAAAGACCTGGAAGAACCCAGAACCCATCTAGAGAGCAGAAGAACCCATCCTCCAGCTCAGCACTGCTGAGATGTGGGGCTGCAGGGTTCTCTGACGGCGGGCAGGACCTGCCCTCGGCCCCGTGGGGCGTGGAGAGGCACCCCTGGTCTCCACCCACCAGAGGCGAGGAGCACCCCACCCTGGGTGTGATGACCACACACTCTGTGGTCACGGCCCACACCCTCTTGGGGTACAGAGTCACCCCCGACGAGAATCACTGCATCGTAATAATGTTCACTGAATAACTGCCCTCTGCAAGGGGGAACTGGGTCAATTGGAGTAGACACACCTAGGAAGTGGTTACACTGGACCAAAAAAGCCCTTAGCGGTATCTTTTATCTCCACTGAAGAATCTGATTAAAAGGCCGAATTTGGGTTTCATGCGAGTACAAATACTCATTTTGTCCTACAGACCGGACAGCATCATTCACGAAGATGGGAGTCTTACATAACGCCCTTTCTTACACCACGTGTCGTGGGGTTTGTCAGGTTCGGTCCTGTGACTGCGAATATCTCAATCTAAACTTATGCACACTTGGACACGATCACCAGAACACAGAGGCTAAATACCCAATGCGTGTACGTTCATTTACGATACAAATGCACAAAGCCGGCGACCCGTGTCTGTGGTTTTGCCTGGCCGAACTCAGCTTCTCAGCTCTCCTGGACACTTGGCAAGTTCCACCACCCACAGAGTGACTCAGACAGGTCTCTCTGCAGAGCTATTAGGCCTTTTCCTTGACGTAACCATAGTGCGCAGATAACAGAATGGCTACCCTCTCATCCAAACAGCCTGTAGAAGCCATGTCCCTTAGACAGGTCATTTAAAAGTCAATATTTATTTATGTATGTAATAAAAAATGATTTTGTTTGTGTGTCACGTTAGAGAGAGATAATCTTGTAAAGAAATGTTGTAAAAAAAAAAAACACAAGAGCATTGTAAATAGTCTGATCTCTGCCACTCATTATTTTCATGTTAGAGTTTGTACATACTGACTGATTCCGTAATAAAGGATCTTTAAACCTGCCTGGTGGACTAGACTCGTTAAACTTTCCTGAAAACACCGACACACACGTTTTCTTTTCATTTAGAAAGGAAAATGAGCAGTTTCCTATGAAGCTGGGGAGATTGAAAAAGCCCCATTCTCCTATCAATATGAATGGAACTCAAGGTCTGGTGAAAGATTGAAGCTGGGAGGAGAAGGGGGCGACAGAAGATGGGATGGTTGGATGGCATCAGTGACTCAATGGACATGAGTTTACCCAAACTCATGTAAACTCCGGGAGCTGGTGATGGACAGGGAGGCCTGGCGTGCTGCAGTCCATGGGGTCGCAAAGAGTCAGACACGACTGAGCAACTGAACAAAACAAAAATGCAACAAGGCAGCTCGTCGTCCTGAACAGACCGTTCTGGACTACTGACACAGATCACGGCGTCACGGTTTTCACTCTATTTCCAAGCATGACTCTCAATGGTTTGGGTGGCATTTTCCATCCATTGGTCCACAGGCTTAAACAACTGCCCCCCACCACC